CTATTAATTTTTAGCTGATCTTGCGTCATCATCAACGTCGTCATCTCCAGTCAATACTCCTGACCAAGACCAAATGGTGAGAAATACTAACCCATAATAATAATATATAAAGTTACGCAAACTCTAAGAGTGAAGTCATCAAACCCGTGAAACAAAAATTGACTATTTTAAAGTATGATAGTCAAATAGCCACACAAAAAATAATGGAATTAAAGCTTACAAAGGTTTATTAGGGTAATATCTATTTTACGGGGTTTTTGACTTCACTCTAGACAATAGAAAATAAAGAAATTCGCATAATTTAGTRTAAAATGTTTTTAGTGTTTGTATCTTATACTGTATTCAGTATATTTCTAATGTTATTTTAATTAACAGGAATGTGAAGACCATAATGAATGGTAAGTAGAAATGTCGCTTTATAGATTATTAATAATAATTAATGAGTTACGTGTAGCGACGCTGTTTTCTAAAAGAAAGCGTGATGGGAGTTGCACTGTGTACAGCGATTCGAACATGATCAGATTGTTCSATTTATCTAAAAACGGCAATTACAGCGGCCGTTTTAAGTGAGGTTAAAATGATGGAAATAACATTCTATAGAAAGATTAAAGATCTATTGAGAGGAAATTCTATTAAATTTATGACAGCAAGCTTAATTTCAAAAGCTGCAGACGATAGCAATGTAAAGTACATGTATTTTACCAAACACGTGAAAATATAGAGAAGAAAAAAATAAATAATAAATGATTTTGTGACTAACTTTAAAAATGAACTCTGACTCTTTCTCGTACTTTCGGAAGTATCCGTTTCCGCTATCCACATGAGCTCACATGAGGAAATGAAAGTGGAGACTTCAAAAGTATCCAYTTTTGAAACCGTTTTCGACAGTATTCATTTATATCATCAGAGAAAATYATGTTTACAGCAAACGGCAGAAAAGATCACGTGACCTTTTGTTGCATCTACCATTACCGTTTCAACACAAGGCTAGGTCATTATACGTTCGCCTTAATGGAAAAAGGCGCCTTTTCGCTCGAGTACCAAACACGCAACATTAAGCGATGTCGATGGCCATATGTCCCTCTTTGCCGTTTGCAGAACATGATTTAACTCTTTATTGTTTTCGAGTGGACGCGAGGTTAAGGCACTTACTGGTAGGAGTACAGTATGCATTTTCAAGTGAAAATGTAAAAAAACCGTATACATTTGTACTAAATGGTACTTATTTATTTTCAGCTCAACAGAAATGAACTCTGACAGCAAAGATGTTATTTATTTCTAATAATCAGT